AAAAAAAANAAAAAAAAAAAAAAAAAAAAAAAAAAAAAAAAAAAAAAAAAAAAAAAACTTCAGCACAAAAAAACAATTATAATATTACAAAGCGGATCGGAAGTTATGACCGTTTGAAGTTGTCAGTCCATATAAATGATTAATTTTTCTCCCAAATATTTTTACAATTTGTGTTCATATTTCCTGCGCCCAAGCGATAGGTCGTCTGAACAAAAAAATAAAATTAATAACTTTTTTGCCGCTTTTAAAATGGAAAAGACAAGTTAATGCACAGTAAGGAAAAGTAACCCGACATTTTGGGATAATATGAGAAGTAGAACACAAAGTAACTTAAAGGTGTGATTAATACTTTTTGATAAGTTCGCATGGTTTCAGTAACCAAAATTTTTGGTTGAAAAACTACAGGCCCGTCAAAAAGAAGAGTACAAACCGCTAAGATTAAACTTGAATCACATCAGTAATATGTCAATGCGATAGCTTCTCGCAAGTCGCCGCATATGAATAAAACTAACTGAGAGACGAGAGGACACAAGTTCAGCAGCACATTTTACTCATAATCTGATCTGAATAACCTCAAAAAAATATTCAGATGTATGTAAGTTAAATTTTTGTTGAATTGCAAGAAAAATCATCCTAAAAACTAAACGGTTCATAATAAGCACACTTATGATACGTACTAAGGGACCTGATACCACTATTCGACCTCCTAGGAGCTCGGAGTGCCTATTCAATTCATTGAAGGCATTTTTATTTGCCTTCGCAGCACGTTATGAACAGTTCATAAACGTGCTGAAGATTACAAATTTTGTACGTCGCATTCCATAAGGCGCGATGATACAACTATTTGAACTCCCCGGAATGCGTGCGGTATCACGCCGCATTTAAAGGCGTTTTCAAAACAGCCAAGTTCCGATACCCGGATTATTGTTTTGCAAAGTTCCTATTGTTATGTTTTATTTTCTACCATTTGTTTGTTTTCAATCCTCTTATAAAAACTACTCATTTGCTGAATACACCTCTGACTGGAGCGCATTTTCGCTATGCATTCACCACTGCAAAAATGTCAAAGGAAATCGACAAAGCCAGCGTGTATAAGGCTATTTCGATTGTAATCTTCCGTCGCATTTCTAAGGCGCAATGATACAACTATTTGAACTCTCCGGAATGCGTGAGGTATCACGCCACATTTGAAGGCGTTTTCAAAACAGCCAAGTTCCGATATCTGGATTATCGTTTTGCATAGTTCATATTCTTTTGTTTTCATTTCTAACCACTTGTTTATTTATAATCCTCCTATAAAAATTACCCATTTGCTTAATACAATTCTAGCTGGAGCGCACTTCAGCTATGCATTCACCACTGCTGAAATGTCAAAGGAAATCGACAAGCCCAGCGGCTTGTCGATTCCTTTGACATTTTTTCAAGTTTGAGCTTTTTCGACTAATCACAAAGATATTGGTGTTTTATATTTTATTTTTGGTGTTTGAAGAGGACTAATCGGAACTTCCTTTAGTATAATTATTCGTTCTGAGCTTATAAATGTTGGGTCTTTTTTATCAAATGAACATTTATATAATGACTTTCCCTTGCTTGGAGGATATTTCAATTATTGTTGTAACAAGAAAAGTCTTAGTGAAACAGTTTCTTGTTCAATGACTTTTTTTTACATAAAATGCTCCATACGCTGCCCCTCTGAGTGCGTAGAGTTACGTTAACACGTTGCCAAATTTTCTCAGAGAAATTACGCATTTCTTATTGGAAAACTAATGGTTTTTTTCTTTCTTTTCTTCACTTCTATAATCCTTAGTTGTCTCAGGAAATACTAAGGTTTTGGTCAATGTGACCAAAAATTTTGTTGAGCTATAAAATCAGATTGGCTGACATAACCGCGGAAGAAAACTAACCCCAAAAAACCGTAAATGCGGACATTTCTAACCGTGTGGTTACTGACGAGGAAGGGCTTTACATAACTCCAGTCGCAGCAATTGATTCTCCAACGAGCAGACCATCGTACAAATCCACATAATTTTCAATTTAAAAACCTCCTCTCAACCTTCTTGACGTTAGCGTTGAGGAACGAAATGGAATGCCATCGTTTGGACTCCTATTTTGCGGGCCCCTCGAATGTGCCGACGGAATCTCAGATTGGAAATGTGTTTTTTTTCCCTTTTTTTTCTCCCATGCGTGACTCTTCCATTGTTGCCTATCCACAGGTAAGTTTAATTTTTTCTACAAGGACCAACATCCATCGAACGCCTTTATGGTCAGAATAATTTGAGCGACGTGTTTGACACACACAAGAAAAGTCGAATCATATAATGAGGTGTCGCTCACATTCGAAAGAAAAGAAAAACGAGGCCCGACTCGTTCCTATCTTTGGCTATGTTGACACTCAAATTTGTTTTCCTTAATTGGATTCCTGATTATTTTTGTAGAATCTATTTGGAGACCTATATCTAAGGCTCGTATACATTGGCCCCATAACTCCCTTAGAAGAGATAGTCAGGTCAATTTGACCCGGCTTGAGATTACTAGAGGTAGTCAATGAAAAAAAAAAATCCAGAAACTCGAGTTTTTTGTCCTTTTTTTCACCTTGGCTTCTGTTTTTCTTTTTTACGATGTACATATATTTGCAGGCCTAAATCTAAAGCTCGAATGTACCGGTCCTATACAACCGGAGGAGCACGTTTCCATAGCAAGCCAAGGGCCTTGCGCATCTAAGGGTTGAACGAAAAAACAGAGAACCTGCAAACTTGGCTCATTTCTAAAGTGAAAAAGTGGAAATTGATGATCTGAAAACATTTTATCTCAAGGAATCGGCAAAGTTTACGAGATAACTTAAAAAAAGGAAGTAAACAAGTAAGGCGTGGAGTGAGCAGGTCTCCAAATTATACCGTCGTTGCGAGTCTTCAAACAAAACAAAAAAATGTTGACACGAAGTAAACATCCCTTAATACTACACCATATCGGAGTTTTATTCACTTGATTCCCAAATGAAGTAGAAACAAACATTTGTACAATGCAAAAGGCGAGAAAAGGTGTAAAGGCGCCCTGGAACTAATACAAAGATTTCCGAAATCAATTTAGGGAAATTGATGGACCCGAACGGTTCTGCAAACAGGAGGGTCAAACACCGAGGGAGTGTTCCCTGGAACTTGTTTCCAATTCGGGGAATTTTGCGGAAGAGGTGAATTTTTAACGCGTCGTCTCGATTGAGAGTGAGCTCAACGGGCGTCTCTCGAAACAAGATGTTACAGCTTCCTTAGTTTTTCGCGCAGGGTTGTCTAACCAATCAGGCAAAATTTCCAACTCGGAAATCCTAACGCGCGTTGTGAAGATTCCCCATAAATTGTCAGGTTGTTTTCGAACAATCGGGGTAGTAAACAATCAAGGGGGTAAACAATTTAGTAAGAACAATCAGGGGGTATATCTTCTTTTGCTTTTTTTTTAACGCTAAAATGAAAAGTAGGTATCCTCCGCCGAGAGTTGAAAACAATTCATTGAATGTATAAAATTGACAAAGAGGCTTCAATGGACCAAGGTCCGTTTTCCCGCGGACGGTCTCGTATTGTATCTTACGCGGCTCGATCCTTTAATCGATAATCGGACGACCTCGCATCGATCGATAATTCTTAGCGGTGCTTTTTATCTATCGAACTCGAAGTGATTCGATAACGATTTAGTAATCGACCCGTTGCTGAGGGTTAAGCTGGCAGCAGTGTCTGGCCAGCGAAACCGAAACGATGGACCGGCCGGACTCAGCCCGTTCCCTAGGGACGCGGGTAGCTTCAGCATCCAGAACATTGGAACTTGAATTCGGGTCGAGACCGTCTTAGCGATGCGTGAAGAAAGGCAGGTCAATGAATGTTTAACCGAATCGACAACTTTGTCACATTTTGTCTTGTTCTCGATTCAATTCGTTGCGACGGATGTGAAATTATATGCTATGTTTAATTTGAAGCTTACGTTGGGAGGCTGTACTACAGACGTATTCAGCCGAATCTAATCTGCCCCTTACCTCTTATAGTCAGGTCGAAATAGCGAAAAAAGGGGGGCAACTCGGAATAAATTACAACAAAAGAGTTTTTGAGGACATCTCTCAAGTTGTACTTCTTAAACAACATACTAAAAAAGTTCGACACGTGTGACGATCGAAAGAGAGGGGGGGGGGTGGCCCCAAAACGCTAAAATGCACTAAAAATTTGCATTTTTCAATAAAAGTATCAAGTTTTTGCCAAAAGTACGAAAAACTTTATAGAAATTACATTGAATTTGCTTTAAAATTAATGGTCGTACAACGCTCTCCAAAGATTCGTTCTCTAGTTACATAGGGAAAAGAAAAGAACTTCAAATTCCGGCAACTTTATAACTATTATGTATCGGCGCATTTTTAAGCACGCACAGGAAACTTCCTCAAAGATGAGTGTTTTTGACCCTGTCAATTTAGACCTCGCTAATGTAGTCCATGTTTATCCTGTCAATTTTTCTCGATTTTTGACGGGAACAGAATTGCTGAATTATTGTCGAATCTTACGTGGTTCGAGGCGTATAATCGATTGCGTATGGTCTTGAGGCTCGGAGAGACTTCTAAAGTCGGGAAACGGTAAAAAACGGTAAAATTTTTCTGTACGGTTTTTACTTTAAAGTAAAAAACTCCCGTTTTTAACCGTTGTTGCAAAAGTGTGAGCACTCGCGATTCTCGTCGATCTCGCGAACCGGCGGAGTAAAGTATCTAACCCCCTGCCGATTTTTCAAAATTACCGCTCTTATTATATCCTTCCTATGATAAACAATAATTATTTTTGCATTCAGTTGTATCTATCAGTCTCAATATTGGGGGTGCTTTATGAAAAATTATGGACATTAAAATGCATGAGCTTTAAAAATATTTAATTATCGTATCAGATAGCTTTAACATACTCAGAGGAAAGTGTTTGTGTGTAGCACTGTACAAGCAGCATGGTTGAAATTGATTTTTGTTTATTGCTTTATGATTGCAGACCTACGCAGCAGATATCTTCTTTGCCCAATCTTGGAAAGATAACAGACTGAGACTGCCAGAGAATATGACCTCCGAGTACCGGTGAGTTAAGATTTGTTTTTTGCGAAAAATTTAAACCGGCCAAATTTATACAGGAGACGGACGGGTTACCAAAATTTGTTTCGATGCGTATAATCTAAAAGTCGGTGGTCGCTGACCTCCCCCTCCCCTCACCCCCCAGTTGCATTTCTTATCACATATACTATGTTTCACTTGAAAACTTCTTTGTTATCGATGTTTACTATTAAGACAAATGAATTTGGTCGATCTTCCAAGTCTCTTGTTCCCTTAAAAAGGAAAAAAAGGAAAAAAAGAAGAGTTCATTTGTGTTCCCGGGAGTGTTCCCTCTGAAGTCATCGTAGAAAGATGTCAATTTAAAAATGAAAGGCAATTTGAATTATACAAAGACAAATCCTACTGCTAGAAAAGTATAAATAGTAATTTGCTGTGCAAAACCGATCCAACCATTAAAACTAACGTTAAAGTAGGTTTCGTGTTTTATTTTATTAGTAGTCACTTCATTCGAGTTCCTTGTTCCTGTTGATTTTATGGTTTTTTTAATATTTTATTATTTTGGTCCCTAATGACCTTCATAGCCCATCTGATGCACCGAATCTTTCCCCATTTTCATACACGGAAAAAAAAATTGCTGAATCAACAATTCAATTGCTAAAAACAGTGAGTGCAATGTTTCAACGCAGATTTTACAACAAAAAAATGTTACTTTAACCATCCCCGTGGTTAAATTAGTTTACAATGTGGTTAAAGTAGCATTTTTTGTTGTAAAATCTGCGTTGAAACATTGCACTCACCGTTTTTAGCAGTTGAATTGTTGAATCAGCAATTTTTATTCCGTGTACGTTTCTAGCGCTAATTTTCAAATCTAAAAACAGCCCAATTTGAGCATGACAGTGAAGTTTTCGGACAAAATCTTATCACGTGCATGTTTTTCAGCACTTTATTTTGACATGAGTAAGGACCAAATAAGTACCAAGTTTCCTTGAATATGTCATCAATATTCATAATAATTTACGTTCGTTGTGTTGAACGGCAAGTCATCGAATATCGAGAATCCCGGAGAAGGGACACTCGGCAACTTTTCTGATCCCGTGAACCAGGACGGAAATTTATTTAATTACCGCCAAGGAGTGACAGGGAATTATTAAGTAAATGGATACCTCGAGGAATGAGGATAAGTGCGATACTGAAGGCACATTGATGCCAATTTGCACGCTCTGTAGCCTCAATAAGTCAAACAGCGATCAAATTGAAATAGCTCGAGGGGCACGAAACAGCAAAAAACCCTTCATTTTGTCTCTCAGGCTACAAACTGTAGAGAAAGTCTTTTAGAGACCTTGCGCTAAGAATTTAAACAATGTAATCGTGTGCGGCCGAAGTTAAATTTATAGGGCAAGACTATTTTTCGCCTGATGAAGAATGATGAGCGACTTGTTGAAAAAATCAAATCAAGTCGCCTAATGATAATCAATGAATGTCGGTTTTTTTTTTTTTTAATTTATTGACTAAGAAAATATGAGGCTTTATATGTAACAATGGCGGATGTGAAAAATTACCTTTTAGAAACACGCTTAAAAAACTGTTTGGTGCTCACAAAAATGTAATATGTTTGGCTCTGGTATAAAGTACAGATCTCGAAGATCACATCTCAAGTATTTTCTCAAAATTTTCTCGATGCCAAAACAGTTTTTTGAATATGTTTCGAAAAGGTAATTTTTCACATCCGCTATTGTTACAGATAAGTCCTCATATACACATAAAATACAAATAACATGAATGTTGCGGTGTAAAGTTCTCGCAAATTAGGTCGAGCTATGTTTCAATGATCAAAATGTGCCCATCGAACTAAGTCATCGATGCGAACATTGTGCGATTCCGATCAAAATTAAGAGGCACCTCTATTTTTTGATCAACATAACTCGCCAACACACTATCGAATGAACGTCATTTGATACTCTGTTAACGATTTTTGTTGATCAAAAAGTAAAGCATCATTTAACTTTGATTGGCAGCAGCTGCATGACTGTCCCATTTTTATTGTCTCGTTGTGATCGTGGAAACACAGTTTTTTGATTACTAAACCAACCGCTTAACTTGCATGGACATCCGTTATCACTATGTAGCAAATCTGAAGTCTCACTTTCGAAAGAATAACTTTTACAGCCTAGAGAAGACAGTAGCACGGGGTCTTTAATATAAAGTGTCTCCGGACAAAACACATCTGCCGTGTCCAAAATGTATCTATTCATTTTGTATCATAAACTTGCATTTTGCTGTGCCTTGGATCAAGAACGAACGATCAAAAAGCCCTATCCCTTGAAGCTTCGGCGCATGAAAATGTGAGGTATCCACGTCATCTGCAAACTTATTGAAATTTTTATGTAAATTATTGAGAGTCTTTTAAAAATATTAGAGGGACCATACAGCACACTGGAAAAAAAAGAATCTTAAATTTGCCGCCAAGAAGTATTTCTTCTCAGATCAAGAATTTTGCTGGTTAATATAAGCTACTTTTTTGCTTAACCCAAGCATTATTTTTCTTGAATCAAGAAAAAGTCAGCTTAAAGCAAGATAAAGAAAATTCTTGGCGGCAAATTCAAGAATTATCATGCTTGATCCAAGCTACTTTTTTTTCAGTGCAATGTATCTCACACGAGAGGTTTTGTGAAGAGAGGATTTGATAAGTATCGACCGTGCTGTTTACTTCCTGAACTACACAGCAACTGCAATTTGAGAAACTTTTGCCCTATTTTTCACATTTTTGATTCAATATGGCAATGTAAAAGATGATAGCTTGTCCCGGACGTTAATGCACTTACACTTGTCGGGCTGTGAGAGAATGCGCTGTTATGATCTGTGAGGGAGCAGAGTAGGGAATTTTTTCGCTTTGCTCATCGTGACATGCACAGCTTCGTCGAAAGGGTTGACATTATTTGAGTTCAACCGCACAGACCAATGTAATATAGACAAGTTTTGTGCGAGAGCGGGCAACTCAGGGCACGCGTCTCCGTAAAATCTAGGAAAACCACATTTTTCCTCGGGAAAGAACTCAGTTGGCTGAAATGGATTTTAGCAACCTGGATTGAATCGTGAGCGTGGATCATGACATTAAAAATTCAAAGTATGTCAGGAATGAGTGTTCCCAGCAAAGTGGAGGGTAGAAAATGCTGTCTTTTTTAATGTAAAAAATGAATTATAATGTTCTTTAGAAAAAACTCTAATGTTGCTTTTACTTGATGAGAAATGACGGCGTGGTAGCTAACATAGTACGAGATGGAAGAAAATGTAGAATATTTAAGTGGAAAAACTTAATTGAAATAATTTTCATTATAGGGTAGCAATGGAAAATACATCAGTTATCAAGCTATTACGGTGTTTGGGTGCAATCTATGGTATATCTATCAATCAGTTAGGTTTCTTCACTTATAAATTCTCAAGTCTCTCTCATCTTACTCTAGGTTACCACGGTGCCATTCTTAATGGATAATTTTGTATTTTATGAATCAAAGATGACTAGCATCAAACAAAATTCAGATTTGATTCCGAAAACTAACTCCAACCTCACAAATTACTTCAAAAGGGAGCGACGATTGTGTTAAAAGTTCAATATACTTGCATTTTAGAACATTTAATCCGCTCATGGTCATGATATCATTTTGAAAACTCTGAAAATGCATATCTTCGATTGGCTTTGTTGTGAATCTTTGCGCTTGTTCCATTTTTTAAGAGATGTTTATCTAGAAATTCCGTTTAATTTTTTTTCCTTTAAATTTTCTTCACTTATTTAAAAATAATCACAGAACATTTCGAAGAGCTTGCGTAATTTTCTCCTCTTTCCTTTTGCCCCGCTAGAATAAAATCTAATTGGATATTTTTCGACGTTATCTCCATTAATGCGCATGTTTCGACTTTCACTGAATGATAAGTCAAACAAAACTAAATACTTCATACACACTTTAGTTTCATTGTAATTTCTCGGTTTAAGGTATAAATATAATGTAATATAATATAATAACACTCATTTGTATCTCTAAACATTTATGGAGCGTTATTTTAATGTAAATGTTCGTTTCTCCAAAAATAAACGAGAATTACCTAGAATTATTAGAAAGAAATGAATAGAAAAAGGGCATATTTACACATACCATTGTTGCTTTAGTTCTGATGTAACCAGTGTATCCTTGCTCAGTCGCTGTATGGCGGGTCCTTGTGACAGGAGTAGGATCCACATAGAGGCAGCCGAGTCACTTCGTTCACCGTAACAGATCGCCTTAAATTCCGAGGTAGGCAACCGAGGATTACCCGGGTGCGCGTTAAGTTATCTCATCCATTACGTCCACTCAAACACGACACACCTCGTTTCTCGCAGCTTGAATTCATATTTTCCAATGCGCCTATTCCTTGTTCGGTTGAATTGCTACGGTTCTCATTTTTAGGCGGTCTATGTCTCCAAATTTTCGTAAAAACTTTTCCCCAAGCTCTTCTCTCAATAATTTCATTCAGATTTCTCCTGGACTAGATTCTCTTTACCCGTTCATTTTGGGACGTTTTTGCATCAGGTGTGATCGAGGATTTGCATCTAATCTGTGCCTTTAAGAGACGTGTGAGGGCGATCCCAACATGCCGTCGGAACAGCGTCCTAATATTCCGAAACAATAAGATTCTAGATATGAGAATTCAAATTTTCCCTCAAATTAGATCTGGTCTTTTCATTAATACAGCAAACGTTTGCCCTGTTACACACGTGCAATTAATAGCCAAAATGAAAACATTCAACCTTTATTAACTTCGATTCAATTCAGTGTTGCCACAATTTCGTGCATAAACGGAAAAAAAATCACCCCGTCATAATCATCAAGTCTGTTATCCTCCACGGAAAGCCACACGAGGCTTTACCTATTTATACTATTTTAGTAAGTTTTTCTGAGATTAAAATGTGGTTGCGTTTTATTTAAACCATTGGAGTGGTATTGATGCTCCCTAAAAAGTGGAGTTTATTCCATGAATTTGTCAGACTAGGGATT